ATATCCCTTCTCCCTTCCTCTTCTTTGTGTTTTTTTCGTCTATTTGTTGGAAAAGTCCTAAATTATTATCTTTACTGTACCTAAAATTAGTGTGAGAAATATTCAATTGCTTGCAAAATCATTATCTTTTTGATAGGCTACATGATGTCTCTTGCTATTCCAAACTTTTATTTATTTCTAAGATATAACATCTTTTTTTTTTATGATAGGTTTTAGTTTAGTAAGCTATCGTTGGTACCAAGTCAGCACTCTAGTTAACGGCCGTCAACGCTTGGCTTCTTTACCAAAGTTGAAGGATTTTTATGAATTCTTTTTTGGTACAAGGACGATAATGAACCATTTTGATAACTTCAGGGATTTTTAATGGCTTTAAGCCAATGAAAAACTACTACGTACATGAAATCATTTTCTACTAATTCGTGGTATTCGGAAATTAAGATTTAGTCCAGCTTAATCTACTCTGCAAACACAACCAATTAAATTAGAGAATGAGTGTTAGCACCCTTTTTTAACACTTTCTTCTAAACACTTTTTATATAATTAGGTTGGGTAAAATATAAATTTTTTTTTAAACAAATTCGTAAAGACTCAAATTCGAACTGTTGCCCGGGGACGAGGGAATGCACTTATACGTGGCTTGACGCCATTAAATCCAAAGGCTTAAGTGCCGGTAAAATATAAATTTAACGTAATTATTAGCCGGTGATTGACATTAAAATTAATATTTTTAAAATTTAAAATTATAATAAATTATATTAAATTTTTGTTATATGTGTCTTAATCACATAAAAATATAAAAAATAATATTAAAGAGAGTGTATATCCTTAGCATTCCTCTCATAATATTTACTAGATTCGATTGGTAATTCTGTACAATGTACATAATAGTAACATCTGTAGGTTGATTCTATATGTAATTTTGTACAATATGTAACAGTAACATCTGTAATCATTCCATATAGTCTTGAATAAGTCCAAGAGTTGATCCATAAATAAGTGTCAATTTTGTTGGCCACATCTAGAGTTTATATATCACCAATCATAGAAATTAATTTTTTTAAATGTACTACATTAATATAAGAGGTGTATCTCTAAGATTGATCATAAATATTAATTTTAAAATATGTAAAAAATACCTAGAAACACTTTATCCATACCCAAAAAAAAAAAACCCAGCTTGAATATGTTAAATTTATTTGTAGCATTCAAAAAATGCCGATCTTGAACCAACGCAGTAGTAATATGCTATGAACTTAAATAGGACCGATAAAAGGGAACCAGAAAGAAAAGAACACATTGAATTCGTGAAAAACAATTTTACTGGGATTATATCTTGTATAATTAAGGCATGAACCAGATGTATGCACTTCATGAACATTAAGACTCTACCAAGGCTCACAAAACGAATGTACTAGTCCAAATCCTAAGGTGAAGAAACATAAGCTTTTACCCCCGCTTTACAACCAAACTTAGGATAAAACATCATCAAAGTCTAGACATTTCTGTTCAGGCAACATGGTTGATCTCGCAAAAGAGAACATGAGGGATTCAAGTGCCATCCATTGGAGTATCACTGCCATTAGGGTTTGTTAAGCTTTCAGAAATATTCTTCTGGGTCTGGCCAGCTCCAAATGTGAACTCATGTGGTGGAACATCTAAAGTGGGCCGAGCAAAAATAGACGTAGCACCAAGATTATTGAAAGCAGGGACAGGAGCTGGAACTGGATCATTAACCTTGGGGAGGCCGAAGCTGAACGATGGAACTCCTACAGGTGGGAAGACAGGCAGAGCAGGATTGCTACCATCAACTGAGCCGAAGATCTTTTCCTCATACTCCTGCAACTGCTGGTAAACAGCTAGAAATCACAGGGCAAATGAAAAGTGAAAGTCAGAAGTGATTATGGTAGGAGGAATGTATCAATTTGAAGGGTAAAAGCCAACAATTATTAACCATATCACTCTAGAATAGCAATTACTTAAATCTGCAAAAATTTTGGTACTGCAGACTAATTCTTAATGGTACCCAAACTTTTGACAGCTAAAACTTTCAAAATGGGATTTCAGTTTGAGATAAAATTACAAGCCAAAGAATCATATGGAATACCAGATAATTAAGTTATACAACAAATAGCTTGTGTCTTATCAGTTTCTTCAATAAACAGAGAATGTCCAATCAAACCATAAGTTTCCACAATCTACTTTATTACTATAAAATTGTGGAAAACCAGATGATTAAGATATAATTTGATTGCTGCTAAATGCTAAACTTTCTTCTCTTTCAAAACAATATTATTATTAACTAATTTGTACATTTCTTTCAGTGAAATAAATCATCTGACCAAAGTTATCAACAACAAAATGGCTTCCCTAAATAAATGTCTAGGCATAACTCTATCAAGACTAATAAAATGTACCTGGACTTAATTCAACAGACGATCTTCGTTCTTTGACCCACTGATAACTCTGCAGAAGCCTCCATCTTTTTGACTTCATCAAGTAGGCCATTACAATAGCTGGTGACCTTTAATAAAAATATAATAATTACCCCTATAAACCATAACTTTCTAGCACAGGGAGAGAGACAGTATTCTATTTCCCATGCACAAATTGCCATGTTTAAGGGAAACGTAAGTAGGGTCAAACCTTGCGATGCAAACAGGTGTGGATGAACAAGCATTTCACTGTCCCCAAAACCAAATAGAGTTTTTGGATGACTTTGATCAAAATTTTATGGGGAAATATAAAAATATAAACACCCATCTGACTAAATGGTGCTTAGTTCTTCAACTTATCATAGAGCAAATATAGGGTGATGATTGCAGCAGGTTGATGGACGCGTAAAGCTAGTTGCATCCTACTAACATGAATCCTTCTTTAAGAAATTTAAGAAATTAGAACGACATAGTTTTTCTTCTTGTTTTATTTCCAATTGTTGTTTACTTGTTTTACAATTTGATATATATTCAATTCCAGTTTTGGAGATGGGATACAGTTTTAGGTTTCAGTATGGCCTTTTAATCTGCATCTGTCCACTTTATTTGCATCCTAATCTAAATAGGCTTCTAGGCAATATCATTAATAATATCCTATTTAGAATTATGTTACGAATTTCCTTGCCTTTGCTTCTGTGTGGTTGTGTGCTCTTGTGATGAGAATAAAATGCAAAACAGTAACAATTAACCTGTTTTTCCCTGACATGCAATGCACAAGGACACGAGCCTTATCCCTCTCACATTGCTCTGCACGAAAAAAGCAAATGGAATGTTATGCTAAATGTTTCAGATAATTCTATGAAAAAAGCAAGCTGATTTATAAATACCATTGAAAAAAATCTCTAATTAAACCATCCATCAATTGAAGGGCTCATCTTCAAATTTTAGTAAGGTGGATGATCCAAAACCAGATTAATAATGAGGTTTCCGTTAAAAGAAAAATAAGGAATTTGATTGAGTTGCAAATGTGAGATATGAAAATATTTCCATATTGTGAAAGTGCTGAATCTAGGATGGAACCAACAGGTGATAGCTTAATTCACAAAATTACAAATGAATAAATAAGTAGATGACCTTAAAACAAAGAAAAGCAAGCAAAATGCGATTCTCAGAAACTATACAAGAATTTGAGATGTAAATGAGTGTTAAAAGTCAAGCACTTGTTAACAATTCAGAATTCATAATGTCACATTAGGAGAAACACACCTAAAAATTGAATTGCATCATCAAATTGTAAAGTTTTGTCATCTTGCAGGCAGTGATAGGTAAATGAGTTCTTGTAGAGATTTTGACAAGCAGGTACAGTCTGCAAAGAGACAAACATAAATAAAATAAGAATAAGCATAAGTTATAGTTTGATACTAGACACACATAACATCTTTTAAGCATGAGTAAATATAACATAACAAACATTTTCAATAAACAGCAAACAGAAAAAAAATGTCATTCCTAACCAAATAATTCTTCAGCTCTTTCTATGGTGCTCCTATAACCACAAGACTGATAGCAATGAACCAGCAGCAGAAACTTGTCTGCTTAATTGCACAAAATGATTCACAACTTAAAAAATTAACCACACTTTTCATTTCCAGGCATTCCTCGCCACAGATTTAAGACAAACACTGAGAGTTTCAAACATGAATATCTCACTGTCAATACATTGATACAACAGAGCTTTCATCTGTCTGCCATCAACAAATATAGCCACTAGATTCAATTTTTTGTAATTAGAAAACAGAAAGGCTTTCTTTTGTCAATATGATAATCCACCTACCAATGGACAAGTTATTTAATTTCTTAGCTACCATTTTGGGCTTAGAGAATTTTCATTTGCCTTGACTGGCCTTAAAAGAAAAAATGAATCTTCATTCACCATTGTAATTCTTCCAAGACGTAAAACTCACAGTGAACTTCTCTTGGTCTTTCCCTTCGTATTGATGATTAATATGATCAACAACATGAATGATATACGGATCTAGAATAATTCATCCTTAACTTTGCAACTATCAAATGCTCTTTGCTTGGTTTCATTACAATTTACAAACATTCTGCGTCAGATTTTCATTTAAGCCTTTTCGAACCTTCAAGTAGATGCCTAGGAAATTCACAAAGTTAACTATTCTACTAAATATAATCACAATAACATATTCCTCATATAATTAATTAAACTATCCACACAACAACAATCCAAGAAAAGCAGAAGAACAACAGTATCTATTTGCCACATCCAAATCATTCACAAGGAAAGCCAGACCCAATTCTCTCATCATGCGTTAGATAATCACTTTCTTTATAAAGAATATAATAGCATTAATGTACCGCGAGAAATAATTAGCAACTCGAGGCCCTACTTTACCTCTCTTCTTTCTTCAACAATTTAACATTAGAAACTATTAAGTCAACTTCTTATAAATACAAAGGAATAGAACAAAATGAACGCAAACTCAAATCCCAGAATGCAAACTCAATAAACCAAAATCAAGTCTCAATATCAAAACTGGCAAAACGAGGAACAAGATTCCAGACCAACCCCTATAAAATAAAGAATATAACCATAAATAGCACTCAAAAAATGCCGAAGTGCAGAATGAAATAATCGAAAGCAATGAGAAACTCACATTAAGCACACGAGAAATCCCCTGTGTTTTAAGAAGCTCGGAGCGAGAGGCGTTATCGTAGCTCCCCAAATAAAGGAAGTCCTGCAAGATCTCCGAGGGGAAAGCGCTAACCTGGAGAGACGATTTCTCCGAGGGAGCCGGAGCCCGGTGGCCGCAAATCCCACAAACTTCTCCTTCCTCGTACTTGTGATAGTGCCCACAAACCCCACATGGATTTTCCCTCTCCCTCTTCCTCATATTCACTAAAGAACGCGAATTTGATTGGATTGGATTATACCCAGATGGGAAAAACAACTTTATTCCAAAAACAAATGACTACCCAGATGCAAACGCAGTCTAACTTGATTGAAAACTCAAAAAGGAACTGAATTGAATAAGGGTTTTGACGATTGATGAGAGAATATAACAAAGAGGCTGAACTGGGGTTGGGAGATCACATGGAAGCTTCTTCTGATTCTTCCTGTTCGATCGAAATTCTTCGTGATTGAGATTAGGCTGAATTGATTGTCATGAGGTTACATAGGCATGAGATCAAGGTCTGCTCTGTACTTATATATATTGTTTGATTGAGATTCTTGATGGGCATGTGATAATGAACAACCTATGTTTCACTTCTCGATCGGCTGCGGGTAGGTGCATTGGCCTGGGCTTGCAACCAGCTGCTAACCACTGTTTATTTTACCACGTGTAGACGGCTCAAAACTCCTAGTCACTTTTTTTTTTTTTTTTTTTAAGATCCTGAAAATAAAGTCCCGATCTACCAGAACTGCTTGTTGAAGTAATGGTGCATATCTATTGTATTTCGTTGAAGATTTCCTTATATTATATAGATTTTTTTTTTTTAATTTGTGTAGTTTAAAAGTGTAATGAATATATATTTTTTACATTAATTAATATTAAAATAATAAAAATTAATATTAATTTTACCATTAACATCACAAGAATTATTTTAAATAAACAAATAAATAAATATTAATTTTTTCATTATTTTAATAAAAATTAATATTAAAAAATTCATAACTGTGCTCTAAATTACTGGGTAGAAAAAGCCTATTATGTAACTTAGAAAAAGAATGAAATTTGGAAGATTGGCTTTATTTTGTTAGACAAATGCTACCCCTGTGTCTGTTAACATGAAATGAAAATTTTGGGGATGAAAGAATAGGCGGCTCATTTGATGTTATGCACTGGAGGAATGCATTTCTTCTTGTACTCGGACTGTACTATTTCATTTATATTAGAATTCTCGTATTTACTTGAAGAAATGAATAAAAATATAGTTTCACTTTCATTTTGTCTGATATATGTGATGATTTGTTTTGCTAAAATGTTAAATTCAATAGTGAAATGTTGCTAAAATAAAGCTAGATTCCCACATTTCCAAGTTCAAATGCTTGCAAAAACTAAATGCTTAAATGTAATTTTCTTAGGTGGGCTGAAGCCCAAATATAGAATTTCAAACTTAAAAGGCCGAATTCAATGATCCAACTCAACTTGAATCCCCTAAAAAAAAGGGTAAATAAAATATGATAAAAGGAAAAATAAGACATGCTAACACTAAAAATAAAAATATCAGTATGTTAATTATAATTATTAAATATATAAAACATAATATGAATCTTAATTTTATCAAATTTATTTTGTGATTATTATTAAAATGTCAAAACATCCTAATTTCTCTATTTTCATAAAAAATATTAAAATAATAAAAGATTTTTTTTATTAAGGAGAATGGGACAAGCCATCAATTTCAAATAAGTATCTTATTTTACAATTCAAACTGTATTATATTACAATAAATAGATGATTGGATGGAAGAAAGACCCATAATTCCTTATTCAATAATCATTGTTGTGTTGTTCAAACACAATAGTTTTTTTATCCAAATTGGATAAAAAGAGTCCATTTCTATTAAAACATATCTTTTTGAATCCATTTAATTTCTTCATATAATTTTTACTTCATTTTGCATAAATAAATATCAAATAAATACAAAAATTAAAGTATGCAACCCTATTTAATACAAGAGTTGTAAGGTGCATGTATACCCTTCTCTATGCTTAGTCATGCCTCCTTACCTTGAATTTCTCATAAACCATGATGACTTACTCTATTGTAATTTGAATAGGTGGCAACTCCTTTTAACCTTTTAAAAGCCTAATTTTCAAATTTCATTGCCGAATTTTAAGTAGTCATCAACATCTCCCTTTCTTGTCTCACCCCACAAACCAAATATACCCTATAACCATTAAAACCATGGATTGAGACCAACTTTCACCTTAGTCGTATGTAAGGCAACTTATTATCGACGTGATAGAAATCTAAAATATCACACACAAAAGCAGTCAACTCGAGATTCTAGTAAATATATAATTTGAAGAAAGAAAAGGGATTAGTTTATTGAAATAATATTTTCACATGATTAATCACGTTTCAGAAGTAGAGGTTGAGTGAATTAAATTAATTAATTTGTTTGAAGCAGTTCAAATAAATAAACCAAAATTGGTCCAAGTTGGTCCATGGTAGCCCATTAAGGCACCATGATCGAATTCTAAGTCCAAATTGTAACATATCTCCCTTAGATAACCCTAATCTTACAAGGAATCTTGAAATAAAATCTTTAAAAAAATAACACGGTGAAAGTAAAATATTTTTAAAGCATAGAATGGTTTATTTAAAAAATTTTGCTTGCAAGTCATTTAAAAATTATAAAGAAAGAAAATCAACAACTTATAAATGAAAACTAATTTAGCAAAAAAACTACTTT